GTGACGACAACCTGGAGCTGCAGGAAGGTTCCTCGAGGCTCAATGCCCACGTGAGGGGCATGAAGGTTAAGGGACAACGAGCCAAGTGAAGGGGGGAGGAGCGCCGGGGAGAACCGCCTGGAAGTCACACAGGTCGAGGGTGAGGGCCAGAGCACCCAGGGCCTAGCGGGCCTCTGTGCAGGTCCTGGGAGCCCTCAGGGAGCCTCAGAACAGGGTTGGGTAGTCAGAGGCAGGATCAGATGGTGTTTCGCGTTGAGCCCTCCCAGCCCTGGCTCAGAGTGAGAACAGGTGGCAGGGGAAGATCGGCAGGAAGGCCATGTGCAGACTCCCGGGGGGACCAGGGCAGGGTGGCTGGGTGAATGGGCCGGGTATAGGCCCACCTCTGCTGTTGATGGCCTGGGCAAGTCACCTCCCCTGATAGACTTGCCAGATTCAGCAAATAAAAACGTGTATTTCAGGTAAACCACGGGTAATGTTTTAGTGCTAAGTATGTCCCAAATATTGCATAAGACACACTTACATTGAAAAAATTTATTCGTGGTTTATTTGAAACTCAAATTTAACTGTGTGTCCTGTTTTATCTGGCAACTCTACTCCAAGGAGTCGCCGCTGTCTCCCTCTCATCTTTCAGGCCCTAGCTCAAATGACCCCTCTCCCCAGCGAGGCCGCCCCTGACCACGCTGGCAGAAGGACCTCCTCCCCACTCTTCCCCAGTCACTCTGTCACATCACCTGCTCCACCGCCTTGCTGGCACTCACAGACTCTGATATGTCTGGCACTCATGTGTCTGTTTGCTATTTATTATCTGTCTCCCACTCTAAGATACAAGCTCATGAGCTCAGGGACCTCTCACTGCTGTATCCTTAGCACGTAGCACAGGCCTAGCACATAGTAGGTGCTCAACAAATATTTATTGAAAGATGAAAGGAATGCCTCCCTGGATGGGCAGTTAAGAAGGAGAGCCAGAGGGTGTGGGTAGCCTGGGGGTGCTGTGCACTCGCTGGTTTTGCCCACCCCCACATCCTCCCACTGGTGACTTGTCCCCTCTTCTTTGAGGCTCAGGGACAGAGTTGAGCTCAACCAGGCCCTGCAGGCCTCCCCTCCCCACAGGATCAGCCTCTTGTCCACAGATTCCCACGGCAGCCCTGTTACCATGGCAACGGCAATCTGAGGTCACAGCACTGGAAACAGGACTTGTCTCTCTTAGAGGAGTCAGAATCTAATTTTCATTACAGCCACAATAGTGGTTTTGCATAATCGTACATATATTAATACCTAACACGCCAGAGTTTATTTGGTTAAAATTCATGAATTCAGGTCTAAATAAAAAGTGCTGATGCCTGAAGTTTTCATTCTCTTAAAATGTTCCTAGGTTGTTGCTTTTTTTAAAGTCAGTCACTCTCCTTGGCAGCAACTTGCTTTTAATCCCATTATTAACGGGTAAGGGAGAGGAAAACAAAGCAGGGCTCTGCTCCCCGGGGGCCGGGTGGAAAGCTTGGGCACTCGCTCCCCAGCCATGGAGGGGGTTGTGTGGGTACCGGGCACCCCCAGCACCACTTCCCTGTGTGACCCAGAGCATGCCATGCCTCCTCCCTGGGCCTCAGTTTCCTCAGGTAGAGAAATGAAGGAAGGGCGTAGTTGGTCTTGAAAATCCTTTTGTCTTCTACAACACAAGCACATAGCTAACCTTTACTGAGGCTCAGCCAGGCACCAGGCTTTGGGCTGAGAAGATGAACCCCGGTCGCTGCCCTTGGGCTGGGACTCAGTCAGGAAACAGACAAAGCCATGGGGTGGCCAGGAAGGCTTCCTGGAGGAGGTGATATTTGAGCTGAGACCTGAAGGGATAAGTAAGAGCTCACCAGGGGAGAGGTGGGAAAAGGGAACAGGTGAGGCTAGAGTGGGCGGGTTCCTACGGGCTCCTGGGGGCAGGCTCAGGCCTTCAGGGCCAAGGAAGTGTTTGGACAAGAGTTGGGACAGAGAGACTGAAACAGGTGCTCAGACACAATCCAGGGGCTGCCATCCAGGCCTGTGGCCCCCCAGCTCTGGTCACACCTACAGGCGGGCCTGAGCACAGTGAATGGGATTCGTGCACACTTGTCTGTCTCCCCACTGGTGTGGAAGGAGCTCAAGACAGAGACACTCAGGTTCTGCTCTGTGGCCTCAGCACCTGGCCAGCTCAGGACCCAGTAGCTGCTATTAGTCACATTATCATCCTCAGAATTATTGGCCGAGGAAATGAAGCCAGGTGTGCCTGAGGCCTCTGGCTTCTAAGCCAAGCTAGGCCCTGCACACCTGCCTCTCCTCTAGACCTGGGCCCTCCCTCTGGCAGGGAGCAGGATGAAGTGACAGGCAAGAGGGGACTGGGCTGGAGGCAGAGCCATGGGGCCCCCGGAGTGAGAGGCTGACAAGGCCTGCGGAAGCGCATTCCAGGGGGGAGCCTGGCCCCAGGGTGCCTGCAAGACCAAGGAGGCAGTGACAGCGTGGGGGCAGAGAAAGCAGAGCAACTCCTGGAAGGAGGCCTGCAGGAAGGGAGACAGAGATGGTGGGGGAGGGAGTGCACCAGCAGAGGGAGCAAGACTTGATCTCAAAGGGGGCCTAGAGCCATGGAAACGTGAGGGCTCCGATGGGCCTGGCAGGAACATGGCACTGACTGCTGAGCGCTGTGGATCGGAGGGGCTGGCCCCAACACTGGGGCATCTGACAAGGCAGGGTCCTCCAGGGTGATGAGACCTGGGTAGACAGCAGCGTGGGGAGCAGATGAAAGGCTGCTCCCGGGAGACTGGCAGGAGGCAGAAGGTGGGGCTTGGCGATGGTGTTAGAGGCAGAGGGAGGGGTCGAGGCCAAGGCCCAGGTTTCCGGGAGGGGATGGGTGTTGGGGGAAGGCCACCTCGGGCTTTGGACACGTGGAGTCCGAGGTGCCCGGTGGAGGAGTCTAGCGGGTCTGTCCCAAGGTGCTGGGAGAGGAGGGGCTGGAGCCAGGGGTCTCCCCAGGGAGCCAGGGCTGGTTGGGACCTCTCTCGGCCGTGCGATCCGCAACTGGGTAGCTAGATTCGGCCTCACGTGTGAGGAACGAGGCTCAGGATAAAGAGCCAGCTGGCCCCGGGCCATGCCTGGACGCAGGCCCAGCCTGTTCTGTAGCGGGCCTGCCCTGCCTCAGCTTCCTCATCTGGAAAGAGGCGCGACCCCGCTCTGGATGGAGGCAGGCAGCCCAGGAGCGGGGGCCAGGCTTGCTGTCACGGGCCAAGGCCCCGTAGCAAGGGGCAATGTCTGCCCACAAGCGCACTCACTGTGTGGACACCTCCCCAGGTTTGGCCTCTCTCCCTGCCCCCCACTGCTGTCCAATGAGGCAGACGCTCAGGTAGAATGGCCTTTAAGGGGTCTCGTGAGACGCAGCAGGGAAAACCAGGTGCTCTGAGTGGTCCTGCAGTCAGCTCGGAGTGTCACATCCATGCCAGGCCAAGGGGCCTAGGATGGCTGCAGTGATTTCTCTACTATCTCCAAGAGCTGCAGCAGCCACCGCAAAGGGATCACAAGGCAAACATGGGGGACACAGGGGCAAGAGAACAAACGGTAATGACGGGACAGTGTCACTCAGGGGAGGGGGCAGGCCTTCCTTCAGGGTGGCCTCCGTTCAAACCCCATTCTCCAGGGTGGGCGGGGCCTCAGAGAGGGAGATATGGCACTAGAGGTCACACTTGATGTCCCCGTGTACCTGCCCACAGCCATGCCCCTGAAGAGGAAAGAAAGGACACACACTGGGGACAGGAGGCCCAGGTGAGGCTGGTGGGAGCTGGGCAGGACCTCTAGCCACCAGCAGCCTGTCCAAGTCCAGGTGACAGTCTCTTATCTCATCCTGAAGAGCAGGAGGAGAGCTGCCCCTCCCAGGGACAAAGCCACAGGGAGCATAGCCCAAGGCCAGAAACCCCAGAATCTGCTGCATACCCAGCGTTATTCCCTCCTTCCAGCAAGCATACTTCCAAGCAGTTTTCCTTGGCAGTTTCTCCCTTTCCTGCTCTCAGGCCATGGTGCAGATGGGCCACCTCCATCTTTAGACCCGAGTTCAGGCCATGCCAGTCAGAGTGTGGCAGATTCCACGGACTTGGTCAGACTGTCAGGGAGAGAAGCTCTTATTCATTTAGGAAGTGGTGGACAGGCCTGGGCTACTAGTGGCCACTAGGAGAGGAGGGGAGCAAATGCAGAAGGAAGCAAAGCCAAGAGGTGAAGAGAGACCATCTCCTAAGTGATAGCTGGAGCCTCAAGCCAACTGCGCCTGAAGCGAACCCCACCCCTGGGTTCCTTAGCTACTTGAGTCTCTAAGCCAGCGGTTCTCAACCTTGCTAATGCCGCGACCCTTTAATACAGTTCCTCATGTTGTGGTGACCCCCAACCATAAAATTATTTTCGTTGCTACTCTATAACTGTAATTTTTGCCACTGTTATGAATCGTAAAGTAAATATCTTTTTGTTTTCCGATGGTCTTAGGCGACCCCTGTGAAAGGGTCGTTCGACCCCCAAAGGGGTCGCGACCCACAGGGTGAGAAGCGCTGCTCTAAGCTAGTTCCTTCTTGTTTCTTTCTCTCCTCTCTCCCTTTTCTCTCCCTGGCTCTTTCTTTCTGTTATTCTTAAGCTCATTTGAATTGGGTTTTTGTCCTTTGCAGCCAAGAAAGTCCTGATTAGACGCATAATATGAATTCAGGAAACAGTGCCAAAGAGGAGTAGGCTATTATTCCCATGTGACCCTCTTGCTCAGGTCCAGCATTTTAGCTACATAACTAGAACCTGAGTGCCAGGCCCTGCCTCCTCCCCAGCCCAGCTGACCTACCCATACCCGGCCATGAGAGGGCCCTTCTATGGGGCATTTCTCTAGGTGCCAGACACCCCAAGCCTCCAACCTGAGCAGGATGGAGAACACTTCACCACCCCACCCCTGGGAAACCCCCCAGCTCAACACCCACCCCAATGGGGAAAGAACAGAACACACACACACACACACACAGAAATTCTGAAATAGGCTTTTGAGTTTTTATTCAAAACAACACTGGTGGTGGCTGCCGCTTGGTTTCTCTACGCCCGGGCCAACTGGGCCAGCAGGGACCAGCGCCATCAGCAACTAGGATGGAGATTCTCTCACATCATAGAAACTGTACAGCGACTGGGAGTGTGGTGGTCACAGCAGCAGGACCAGGCCCAGGGCTTCCAGGAGAAGGTGGCCCCTGCCGCCTCCCCAGGCTCCAGCTCAGCCCAGCTCCGCCAGGAACACTGATTATTACACAAAGACAAAAAGAGTATGTGTATCTGGGCCACACCGCGACTTCTAAGACCCCAAGCCCTTACACAGCGCAGCAAAAGGGGCCAGAGGTGGCCCTGGAAACAGAAGGCTCCAGGGGGGCCTCTGGGGGGGGGGAAGACAGGCAGACAGGCTGATACTGTGCACGCTTCGTCTTTTGTGGGGCTGCCAAGCGCAGGAGCCCAGGCAGGGGACAGGAAGAGGCATTGGCTGGGGTGGGCCACAGCCCCAGCTGGTCTTGGGTCCATCTGTGCAAACGCTGAGGTGCCTGCCAGCCACCACTCTGCAGAGTCCTGCAAACAGATAGCTTGGGATGTCCCGCACCAAATTCCTCATTATCCCCAGGGCCAGGCCCTCGTGGGTTAGGTTAAGTTTGTGCTTTTGTGATGGACATGCCATAGGATCAGGAAGGGCAGAGGGGCCATTCACCTAACCCTTATCTATTTCGGCTTGTCCTGGCCAACCAATCACAGCTTCCGCGTCCCCCACACCCCATAGCTCACAGGAACAAGATCAAGTGCCTTGGAACAGCATTTGGCAACCTCTAGGAACCAGACCCGTCTCCCATGACTCCCCAGCCAAAGCTTCTCTCCTATAGGCTCAGCTAGTCCCGCCTCTAGACACGCCCGGAACTGTCCTGCCTCAGGCCAGCCCCTTTGCCTAGATGGCCTTCCCCCACGGGTCTGCTTGTTTGGGGGCCACAAGGTTCAGAGTGAAGGGTTGGCTTTTCGCGTGTCAGACACACCTGGGATGTGTTCCCTGCCCAGACACTCAGAACCCAGGGACACCAGGGAAGTCACTTCCCTGGTCTGAGAGTGGAACAGCAGTGCACACCCATCTAGGCGCTGTACAGACTAAACAGGGTGACTCCCGGGCCCAGAAAATGGAAGCTGCTGACCAGTGTCACATTCTGTCCCCTTGAACCCAAGCCGAGTTAACCCAGTTAAGTTCTCCACGTGGTCTTCCCAGGCCCGCGGCGCCTCTTCCAGGTCCCAGCACACGTGCCCCTCCAGGAACACGCTGACTGATTGTGCTGCTTCCCTCTAACTGTGACTGCTCGGGGCCACCGCGGTGCTGGCAGGAAAGGTGAGCAGAGCCAGATGGCCTACCTGTGCCCTCTCCTTCCCCACACAAGCACCCCATAATGAAATAATCAGCACACAGGGAGGCCCCGGCCCTCTGGGGCATCAGCTGGAGACATGCCGTCTCCCCCACCAGATGTGGGGCCACTCGGGGCAGGAGGTGACAAGACCCCAGGTCCGCCTGCTCCCTGAGCAGGAGGGCCCAGCTGACCCCTTACCCTGGAGGCTGTGGTCCTGGGAGGAAGCCCAGTGCTTGGGCAGTGCCTCAGTATCCTCACGGAGGCCCCCCATCCACACTTCAAGTGAGGGGAGCGGGGCTCTGGGGCAAATCCTGGTCTGACTGCCATGCTGGCCCAACTCCAAAGTACCAACAGAGGCCCAAGGCCAGGCTCTGCCTTCTGAACCTACCCGCTTCAAACACAGGCCACTTGTTCACATTCCAGGTACTCAGGTGTTGGCCCCGCAGCGCCCCAGCCCCTCTGCTGCCAGGGCCCTGAGGGATCCTGGGCTGGCCACACTTTGCCTCTCCAGGCCTCAGTTTCCTCACGTGTAAAGTGGGTCTGACTACCCTTCCCCACTCCCACCACCAGCTCTTAAAGGAAGGGCTTTGCCGGCCACTAAGCTTAAGTCACTCATTGCCTACTTCCTTTGCTACAGTACCCAGGCCCCAAGGGTCCCTATGATGGCCTGGAAGACACCCAGAGCCTGTCCAAGCAGCTCCCCGCACCCCCACCACACACACACACACACACACACACACACACACACCACTTGACGTCCTGGCCCGAAGCCAAGTTCTTTAAGGTCAGAGTTTGGGATCAAGGACAAGGCCCCCTCGGTGGGGCCCAGCCAAACCATCTGAGACCTCAAAGGCAAAGGGCCTGGCTATTGCTGACGTGCACTGTGCCCCAAACTTGCAGCATTTCCCATCCCATGACTCTGCCACCGCGGTCCCCATCTTTTTCTTTAAACTGACTTAGCCACATGCTTTCAAAACCTTAGCCTTGACCTAAGCAATATGTCTGTGAAATCATGGGTTTGGTGTGCTGGTTTTTTCCTAATAAATACAGAAATAAATACATAACTATTCAAATACAAAATACCCGTCTGCGAGCCCATTTGGGAAGCAATGCTGCAGTGAAACCTGACCTGCAGTTTTGAGAATAGGAGGGAGGGGGATGAGATAGGCAGCTGGGGGTAAAGTGGGAGGATGTGGGTCTCCAGGTGATGGGTGTGAAGGAACTGGTGGGTGGGGCAGGTCGCAGGGCCCAGGCAGGTGCCCCACCCCAGCTCAGAATCCTGTCAGGTCTTCCTTACCCTGAAATCCATCCCAGGAGAACAGAGGTGCTCAGGGGGTGGAGTGGAGTACAACCTCCTTGAATTGCTGTGGCTCAGGCCCCGCTAGAGGGTACAAGGCCACGGCCAGCACTGACCAGACCGGAGCCCTTGACCTTGCGAGCATCTCAGGACCTGCTCAACCGCCTTCACTTTCTTCTCTCTCCCGCTGCCTCCATTCCTGCCCTCGGCTTCCTGTGGGCAAGGCCACAGCACACCCCACCCCTAGGGAAGTGCCTAGTGGGGCAGGGGCCCCTGCCCAGCCTGGGAGCTGACCTCCACCCCCACCCCGACCCTAAGGAAATACAACTATCACCCCTGATTTTTCTAAAGAAATACATCTAACTGGTTGACTAAGAGTTTGTGGACTTTGGGCGTCTACAAAAAAACTGTTCACACAACTAGACAGTCAGGAACAACAAGACAGACACCCCAATAATGGGGGGGGGGGAAAGGGGGTGGAATCTTAGCAGCATTTCTTCTTTAAAGGAAAAAAAATGCACCCTGAATTACACCTCTTTTTCTGGGCCTGTCTTCCTAGCCACAGGACCCTCAGAGGTCTGAAAGCCCTCTCCAAGCTACTCCCAATCCAGGGGAGATACCAAAAAGCACGGGTGCCGACGCCCCAGCAGGACCATCTACCCTGGGGTGGGTCTGGCCTGGGTCCTAAGCATCAGGCAAAAGCCCTGACTGGGCCCAGGGTCGCACTGCCCACCTTCAGCACTTTCTGGAAGTCATAAGCTCTCAGTAAAAAAAATAAATAAATATATATGTCTGTCTCTCTCTATATATATGCATATATATATATACATGGATCTGCACGGGAAGAACCATGGCTGGGCCACATCTGGGCCTCGGCCCACCCTCGGCGGCCCCAAACCCAACTCTGCCCGCACTCTCGGCGGCCTGGCGCTGGCTGGCCCTGCGCAATGCCCAGGTTGTGGACCAAGTATTGCTGTCTGCCCCTGGCTCCTGAGGTAAAGAACATGAGACAGGGCGGGCGGCGGCGCTGGGCCCCTGCGGCCCTCATCTCTTTCTCTTGCTCGCAGCGTCTCCGGGCTGCAGCTCCCCGGGGGCCTCTGCAGGGCCCGGTGGGTCCTTGCTGCGGTTCTCGGCCCAGGAGGGGCTCCGGGCCAGGCTGTGGGGCCGGGCGGTGGGGCGGGGGCGGCCGGGGCCAGCGGCCAGGCTGCTGGTGCTGCTGAACCTCCTGGCGGGCGGGAGCCCAGGCGGTGCTGGCGGCGGGCAGAAGAGGGAGGTGAGCGAGAGGCTGCTGAGGGTCTCCGAGTGCTCGCTGCCCCCGCCCCCACCGCCTGCGCCACCCCTGCCTGCGCCCTCCTCGTCCGAGGGGTCCATGGAGTCGTGGTGGGTGCAGCCTGGGCTGGTGGAGCCCCCACTGCTGTGGCTACGCTGGTGCACCCTCAGTCCCCGCCGGCTGAACAGGCCCCGGCCCCGCAGGCTGAGGCGGCGGCGGGCGGCGGGAGACAGGCTGGCCCGGGAGCCTGGGGCGGGTGCAGGCGGCCCGAGGGCACGCCGGGGACTGTCGCTCAGGGTCAGGCTGTCCTCCAGTGTGGTCTGCAGGCTGCCTGCTGAGCTGCTGCGGCTGGCCTCCAGCGACGTGTCACTCCCAGTGGCCTTTGGGGAGACATCAGAAGATGGGAGCCACCCAGGGTGTCTGGACCAAGCTGCTCCCACCAGTGTCCCCTGACGCTGCTCTTCCCACAACTTGCCCATCCTAGTGCCATGCGGGCAGGCACATGCAGCCCTCCACGGAGCGCCCTTCACAACACATCCAGCATCCCTGGGGTTCTCCCGTCCACCACGCCACCACCCATCAGAGCTTCCGGGTGCTTCTCCCGACAGTCACTGCAGGGGCCTCCGACTGGGCTACCCACCCCACCCTACTCTCAGGTCCTCAGGGAGCAGACAGGGTCATCCTACTTGAACCCAGTCAGGCCCTGGCCTGAGGGCCCCGCCCCAGCCCTCTGGGCCCTCACTTCCCACCACCCTCACCCCCACTCCCCACCTCTGCTCAGCCTGCTGCCCTGAAAGCTCTTCCCCAGACATCCAAGGGCTTCCCCTCAGGGCCTTTCCAGCCCCTCTACCTGAACTGCCAGCACCCCTGCTCCCCAACAGCCCCCTTCCCTGTGCAATGTTCTCCCCCGTATGTATCACTATCTAATAGACTGTACTTTTTATGCATTTATTTTGGCTTTTTAGCTCTCCTCTTGCACCCCTGCAACACACACACTAAACAAACTGGAAGTCCCAGAGGCAGGAATTCTGCATTCTGTAGCTGCTGCAGCCTCTGAGCCTAGCACACAGTCTGGCACACAGTTACTGAATGAACAAATGTCTGCAAGAGTCCTGGGCCCAGCCCTGCCTCCACCAGCAGAGCACCCTGTGTGCCCAGGTGGTGGCCCTGGCCAATCCAACACAGGTGGCCCTGCAGACCAAGACGTCCCCTCCCCCAGACCGGCCCCTCCACCTCCACCTGGAACTCCAAGGCCCCACTCAGCAGGTGAGCTCTCAGCCAGGGAGGCGCCATACCTGTCGGAGAAGGGTGCAGTTGACGCTCGGGGACCGCAGAGATGCCCAGGAGCCCTGCAGGGCGATCTTGGGGAGGGCCCCAGCACCAGCGTCCTGCCCCTGCCCTTTCTGGCTGGCAGACACAGCAGGGTGGAAGAACTCTGTTGGCATGGGCAGGAGTGGGCTGGAGGCCTCTGGGGAGAAAGGGTTTGAGGGCGCTGCTGGGGAGAGAAGAGGGAGTTGGGGAGTAGGCTGGGGCTGGCGGGCCCCTGGAGGGTGGGCTGGTAGGGAGGGGGCTACCTAACAAACTGGCTATGAAACTGAGCCCCGGCGTCCCCATTGTGAAAGCAAGGGAGAAAGAGTCAGCCTGTATGATTGCTAGGAAGACAGGCACTGCTGAGCTCATCTCTCTGTCCCAGCCAGTGCTGTGAAACCAGAGTCCTGTCACCCTCCAAGAGGACTGGAGGTGAGCCCTAGTGATGGACAGGCCAGCTCAGTCCTCTGTCCTCATGCCCATGGCCCAGCCACAAGCCCAAAGCACAAACATAGGATATCTAGGGTCCAGCCAAAGAATAAATGACAGGACATTTTACAAAAGGGCTACTGAGGTCAACAGGCTTTCTGTAGTTCAACATCACCTTGTGTGAAGATCTCTGGTATCCATACCTATCAAATGCAGCTCTAGAAAAACACCTCGATAATTTGGCAGCTTTCCTTCTGCCTGATGATAAGAGCTGTGTGTGCCAACCTGTTCCCCTTTCCACCACAGCTCCCGGGAAGCTCAGCATGAAGCCTCTCTTGGCCCAGGTTTCTGGTATAATTATTATCTCATCTCTGTATTATTTGACTCTTGATCTTTTTTTTTGGGGGGGGGGACGGGGGGGACTTTTGATTTTTTTTATCATTGTTATATCAGGCCTGAGATTCCTATCTTTAGTTGTTAGTTACTCATCTGGTTCTTTCCAGACTCAACATAACAGTCTAGTAAATTATTAAAAAAAAACCTCAACCAGTTCCCTCTGAAGGAGATGCCCAAGATCAGGGCTAGGGGGAGCTGGGGGTGTGCCTACCCCTCACCTTGGCTGCTCTCATGTTTCAGCCAGGACCGGATGGGGTTAAATGATATTGCTTCCATCTCACACAGGAAGTTCTCTGGACCCGAGGATACGGCCGTGTTGGACAGGGGGAGGAAGCATTCACCCAGGTCCCCCACACGCATGGGCTCAGGTGGGTCTGGCTCACCCTGCAGGCAAAGGGAGGGAGACAGGTTAGGACAGTGGAGAGGGGGATGGAGGCAGAGCCCACCACAGCTGCCTTCACGCCCCTGTACCACAGCCCTTTGCTCAGACCACTCTCGCTGTCTGGGAGGGCCTTCTCCTTGTCTTGTCCACCTGGCCAGCAATCGTCACCTTCCAAACCCTAGGTCAGCGGTTCTCAACCTTCCTAATGCCGCGACCCCTTAATACAGTTCCTCATGTTGTGGTGACCCCCGGCCATAAAATTATTTTCGTTGCTACTCTATAACTGTAACTTTGCTACTGTTGTGAATCATAATGTAAATATCTTTTTGTTTTCCAATGGTCTTAGGCGACCCCTGTGAAAGGGTCTTTCGACCCCCAAAGGGGTCGCGACCCACAGGTTGAGAACCGCTGCCCTAGGTGAAAGGGCCCCAGTCTCTCTGATGTCCCAGGCAGGTCAAAGTTTCCTGCTCACTCCCCTCTTGACTCTGAGATCCTTGCAGGCAGCTGAGGGTCTTCTTACACGGATTTAAAAAAATATTCAAAGCAACAAGGAACAGCCAAGGCCACTGGATGCCATGACTGGGGCTCTAGCTGAGCTTGTTGCTCTGTGACTTGAGGTAAATCACTCCACCTCTCTGAGCCCCACTGACCAACAAGAGATGAGGGCCTACCCACAGCAGGTGCCGTTTAAATGCTGCACAGTGGGGAAGCGGCATTCTGGCTGTACAGGCGGAGGCCAGCCTTCAAGGGCTGACCCACTTGCCCAGGAGCCCACCAGGGCCACTTACCTTGCTGTCTATGGAGCCGAGCGGGCAGGCTAAAGGGTCCTCAAGACTCAGGTCATCACCCAGCAGGATGGATGAAGACCTGTCTGAGTTCAAGGAGAAGGCCTCCGTCTCAGCCAGCTGCACCTGCAGGGAGAGGTGGCAGCCTCAGGTCACCCATGGGGCTGGGTCCCCCAGACAGACACAGAGCCGGTCAGAGAGGTCCAGAGATCTGCTGAGCATGGACGGTATGCCCTTTCCAGGCAAGGGGCACAGCCTGGGCTGGTGGGGGGAGGGGGGCACAGTGGTGTCACAGTCAGCAAAATGCCAGGGCCAAGGCAGGCGAGTTGCCATGGGCCATGAACTCCAAAGCTGGTCCGCTTGCCCACAGACCAAGTGTCCCTGGCCATTGTGGGCCAAGTTGGTGGGCCAGGTCTCTGCCCGAAGCTGGGCGCTTCCCTCAGGCTGGCCTACCTCAAGGTGCCAACCTTACCTCTTGCTTGTCGTGGTGACACTTCCCGCAGCCAGCCGGCGAGGAGTAGTGGTGGAAGATGGAACCAGACAGGTTGTCGATGATGGTCAGCTCCCCATCCAAGGAGTCCTTGATGATTAAAGAGACGCTGTCCAGCCACAGATTCTCCTAGGCGGACGGGACGGGTGGGGACAGGCGGGATTATCGCCAGGTTGGGGACTGCGGGGTGGGTGGGACACAGCTGCCCTCCCGGTCGTTCTCTGCACCCACGACCTAGGCTTGACCCCTAGTCACAGGGTCATCCCTTCACAGAGCTGAGCAGGGTGAGGCCCCAAAAGACAGTGGTCTCTGCCAGAGGCCGCCCTGGCCAGCTGCTCTGGCAGCCCCAACATCCCACCCTTGGCAACCTGGTGCCCCCAACCCCCAGGCCCCTGCCCACCTGTGCTGGAGAGTAGCAGCGTCGGCACAGGTGGCCTTCCACGTCACCCCCGCCACCAGCCCCTCCTGGTCCTCGGCCAGGTGCCCCTGGGGAGCCGGCGGGAGGCCGCGGGCCGGGACCCAGGCCCTGGGCCATCTCGAGCTCGAGCTCAGCGTCCATCTCGGCGTCCTCCTGGGCCTCCTTGTTGCTGTCGTCCAGGTGCTTCATGAGCACAGCCACCACCACGTTGATGAGCACAAACTGGGCCGTGAGCACGAAGCTGACGAAGTACAGCGGCGACACGAACTGCAGGCTGCTCAGGCAGCTGCGCTCATCGTGGGTGCAGTCTCTCAGCGTGTCCTGCGCCCGGGGAGCGGGGTGGTGAGGACCCAGGGCTGGAGGCACAGGCCTCACCTGTCCTCTGTGAGACCTGCTCCCCGCCCAGCCCAGGCCCAATGTGGGCGGGAGCCAGGGGGCCTCTGCTGGGTGATAGGCAGGGCAGCAGACACTTGGCACCAGGAGCAGTGACTGCAGCCCCTGCCCTGGGCTACGGGCCCCAAGTCCCCTCCGGCCCTGGGTGGAGTTGTGTTCCTTAGCACCTGAGCACTGATCTGAGCACTGCCCAGCATTTAGGGGTGGGCAGAGAACCCCTTCCAGCATTGGGGTGCTGGTCAGGCAGAGGGCCAGGGAGCCCTGACCGGCAGGACCGTCACCAGCATCCTTACTCTCAGAACCCAGACTGAGTCCTCCCCTGCCAGCCCGCCCACAAGTACCTTCATGATCCCGTTCCAGTTGTCGCCAGTGGAGACCTGGAAGAGCGTGAGGAAAGCCATGCCGAAGTTCTCGAAGGTGGCATGCCGGCTCATGCCCTCGCACGGGTTCTCATCATTGCAGACTGAGGGGACAGAGGAGGCCGGCTGTCCAGCTGCACGCCCCCCTGCACAACTCGCCTGGCCTTCTCTCAGAATCCCTGCTACAGCCCTGGGAGGTGCGTGGGAACTGTGCGCAGCCCACAGATGGAGGAACTGAGGCTCAGGGAGGTGGCACACAAGCTGGGCTCAGACTCAGGTAGCCTGGCTCATCCCCGTACCCAAGTAGCAGTTCCAGGGGGAGAGGATGGAGCGGGTGAGCACCAGCCCCCAAGGAAGCCCTGCTTTCTAGAGCCAACCCCGTGTTGTCCTCCACCTGTGCCCTGGCGGCTCTGTCTACAGGGGTGGCGCTGGCCCAGGACAGACACCGGGGCCAGAGGCGGTGTCCATGGAGGTCTGACAACTGGGGGCTCCAAGTCAGGGCCCACGGCATAGGCCTGGCGTGTGCAGGTGGACCCAAGCTAGCATGTTCCCTCTCACACGGGAGAGGAGAGGGGTGGAGACTCTCCTCCAGACCCGTTCCACTCCCCACTCCCACCCCAGGCCTGCTTAGGGGGTCACTCACTCAGCTTCCCGAACAGCTCCACTCCCAGGGCGGCGTAGATGAAGAAGAGCAGCATAAAGAGGAGGCCCAGGTTGCCCACCTGTGGGGACAGCAGGTGGGGCTGGGCCGGGCCTGGGGAGGGTGGGCGTGGGGGCCCGGCAGGGTCCATGCACACAATCACCTGTGTGTGGTTAGTGCCATCCCATGGATGAATGCAGACAGGGAGGGAAGGACGTCTTAGCAATAATGCCACCTCCTCCATGAAGCCTGCCTGGATTCCCTCAGGCAGACTGGGATACAGTCTGACAGTGTGAGTGTGACCAGTGTGTCCCTGCCCCTGTCCCTGCTGGTCTGGGAACTCTTTGAGAGCAGGGACATGGCTAGATTAAGTCAGGTCTGCTGCCTCAGGCCAGCACGAAGCCTGGCCACGGAGAGGAGCGAACACAGGAATCACGCAGGACTGTGGGCCCCAGAAGCCTCCTGCAAAACCAGCCACCCTCATCCCACAGCTCCTGTGGGAGGAAAATGTCCCAGATTCCAAACCTATTTCAAATCTATCTATATATGCTGGAGACCGCCGTTAACTCGTGTAACGGATAAGACAAGGCTTAACCACATTCTTGCCCTAGAAATGAAATATCTGCTAGACCCCTCAGAAGACCTACACAAATGGAATCGGAAGACATGTGCATTAATTGCTGAAAAGCAAATCCCGTTAATCACAGCCTCCTAATGTTTCTCGGCTTCAGGGGAGGGTTTCCTTCCAAGCTGTTCTACAATCACACAGAGCGCGTCTGACTAATTAAACGATGCTCGTTCATTAATGAATCAAGCACTTATCAAGCACCTAAGAGGCAAGGTGTGAGGGCCTGGCAGCCGAGGGGGATGGGGCACGGCCTGGGCCCCTGGCTCAGCTCTCCGCCCTCTGCAGGCCCGGGTCAGCAGTGCTTCTTAACCGGCATCCACTTCATCTTTCCTATCCGTCCTCCCCCAGCCTTCAGCATCTCCCAGAGCCTGCACAGCTACAACAGCCCCCTCACCCACCCCCCTGCCTCCAGCCTCTCCCTCCAATCCGTTCTCCTCTGAGTCGCCAGAGTAACCTAAAAGATTGAGGCCCCCCTCCTTCAGAACCTCCCACGGTGCCCACTGCCTGCAGGACAAAGCCCAAGCCTGCTCTCCTGGCATCCAAGGTATGACATAGCCCTGCGGACCACACACACCTGCGCCCCCACCCCCTACCCCCCATCTTCCAACCCAGTTCTAGCCACACAGAAAACAGACCCCATTTGCATATTCTATTCTCTCTGCAGGAAGACCCTCTTTCTGTCTCTGCCTGATAAATGCCTCCTCCCCACCCCTCAAGCCCAGGTCATCTGTCACCTCCCCTGAGAAGCCTTCCATGATGCCTGCTGCCTCTACATTTGGTGCCTAGCCTAGAGGGAAGGGGCTAAAGTTTCATTTCAATAGCACTTTACAGAGAACAGAGGAAGTGTTCAGCATCAGCTAATAAGTTTTGAGGGGTGAGCCCCCCACCATGCCACATGATACTTGTCACTCCCTTCTCATAAAGTGCTGATGTAATTGTAATTACTATCATGCGTCTCCTATTTTAGTCTGAGACCTTCTGGGTATCTCCATGTGCCCTGTGCCAACTCCAGGTTGGCCTGGAAAGCCACCCAAGGATGCCTAGGGGTCAGAAAGAGAATAATGGGGGAGGGGGAAAGAAAAGGGGAAAAAAAGCCAGTGTGGCCAGGGACACACACTCACCACCCCCATCCCCATCCTTAGCAGACTCTTACATAGCACTTCCTATGACCCAGGTCCCGCTCAGTACTTCATAAGCTTTTAATATTTTAAATATTACAACATCTCTTTGAGATAAGCACTGTTATCATCCCCCATTTCACAGGCATGGAAATCAAGGCACAAGAAGTTGAGTCACATGTCCAGGGTCTCACAGGGGACTGGGCTTTGACCCCAGGCAGGGTGGCTGGAGTCTGGGCTCCACTCACTTCCTGTCTGCACATCCCCCAAGCCCAGCACTCACCCCCATCTCCCATGTGATAAATTCCTCTGAAGGAACTTAGCATTAGGAAAAAACCATGCCTCTTCAATCCAGACCTGATGAGAGCCATGTCGAGTTCCCTTTGCCACTGGGCTGCTGGAAAACTCACACCGAACTCGAGAATGGAACTCACTAACGTCCTTAGCCCAGGTCCCTACGAGAATTATCTTTATTTCACCTCCCCTGAGTTATTAATCTTTTATCCTCATTTTTAGTGTGCTGTATCCATGTCTTTTAAGAAGTTCCTTAAGACGAGAGGAATCATGAATAAAAGAATGTGCATGAGGCTTCCCTCAGAGCAGAGGCAGCCTGAGGGGACGAAGTGGAGGCTTAAGTCATCAGGACAGCAGGGGGAGGGAGAGACTGGGATTGCAGAATTCCCCAGGAGGATGAAAGATACACCCTCTGTGGCCATGACCCTATCTCCCTTCCACTGACCAATGGAACGGGGGTGGGGGGATGGCTTTCTTAACTTCCCAGGGTCCCCACCCAGGCCGGGGTCTCATTCTGTCCCCTCCTAGAATGTCATGTCTGAACCTCTCCAATCACATCAACATCTTCTTCTGCCAAGCCACCCACAAGATCAAGCTCAAAGTCCCCTGACATCTTCCCTGATTGTCAGGGTCCCTCCTCCTTCCACAGCATGGTGTAGGCCCCTCGTCACATTGCCCCGAGGCATCGATCTTCTCCACCAGCCTGGCAACTCCTGAGAGCAGAATATGGGTCCCCAGGGGCCAGCCCGGAGCCTGGTACAGAGCAGGGAAGGTGAGCACTTGGTGATGTCAGGAAGAAAGGTGAAACCTGGACCGTCTCTCACGGCACCAGCTCTATCTGCTTCTCTGGAGATGGGATTCTGCCCTGGCTCTGGGCAGGTCTGGGGAGAAGGGCCCAACATGACACCCATGACAGGTAGGAGGGGCTGCTGCAGCAAGCGGCTCTCACCTGGGGCAGAGCTTGCACCACCGTGTCCAGCAGGGCCCGCATGCCCGTCGCCATCTTCAACAGCTTCAGCACTGTGAACGAGACCCAGCCCGGCCCACTCAGCCCGGGGCAGTGGGGACATGCGTGTGCATGTGTGTGCATGTATGCAAATGCAGAAGGAAAGTGAGAGTGGAGGAGCATGTAAGCAAAGGGGGTGGCTCTGCGGTGCATGCCACAAGAATGTGGGTGCAGTGACCGGGTGATAGGGGTGTGCACAAAAGCATGCGGCGTGAGGTGTGGATGTCCATGTAAAACAAGTCCAAGAGGAGGGCACACCCAGTGGGGATGGAGGGATAAAAACTGTGCAAGTGAATGTACCATTCACCATGATGGGGCAAAAATAACGGGCAAGTTGGTGCCCACGTCTCTTCCTCTGGCTAAAGAGGGCCCCGGTGTTCTGCTGAGGTTCTCCACATCCCTCCACACCTCGGAATCCAGAGGTGACAGGCAGGTACAGGAGGAGGAACAGGAAGAGGCATCTGGGGGAACACTGAGGTGGGAGGTTTTTGAAAGAAGTGTGGGGACAGCCTTGGGCTGAGAGGGAGCTTCTGGGAGAAGAAAGGGGATTTTAAGAAGTGTTGAGACCCACGTGTCCCAAATGGTGCTACAGTAATGCTGGTGAGGAACCATGTCTTCCCAGCTGCACTGGCTCCTTTCATCCCAGCCTGAGGCTGGACCACAGGGGTTGTGGTGTGATAAGGAGGCAGAGGTGCTGTGTGCTGTGCAGAGTGATCTGTGGACGAGGGCACATGAGTGTGTGCACACAGGGCTAGTGTGTGTAGGGTGTGAGCTCCTCTTGGTTCTTGTTCCAGGCTCGGCAGGAAGCCCATCATGCCCACACTCCCCGCCCCGATCCTGCCCACAGTTCCCTCCTCCATCCTGCCCACGCCACGCCGCCCCCCAATCCTCCTATCCATCCCTACTCCGTCCCCATCCTCACCCCGGGCAATGCGCAGGACTCTCATGATGCGGATGATGGTGGGGTTGATGGGCAATGCCGCGTTAATCTCGATCTCCTCCAGCGTGATGCCCATGACCGATAGCAGCACAATGGCCAGGTCTAGCTGGTTCCACCTGCCCGGGGGCACAGGAGGGCAAGCAGGGTGGGGGTACTCTAGTTTAGACACACCTCAGCGGAGAGGAGCTTCCCAGCTCCCCACCCTCCTGCTTTGGCCAGCGGGGATGTGTGGCCACCCTCTCAACGAGCCCCTTCAGACCCCACTGGGTCCATCTCCTTCTCTGCCCCCAGACAGCCTTAAGCAAGGGGCTGATCAGGCTAAATAAATAGAAGAGGAGAAGCAGGCTCTGACTTCTAGGGCAGAATCTTGAGCCCACTGCTCCCTCTGTGTGGCCTTGGGCTACACATCAACCTCTCTGAGCCTCATTTGTTCCCTCTAAAAAGGACTAGCATGAGGTGTGCCCTGCTCTGACCGTGGGGTATGGAGGACCCACTGAAGATATGCTAAGGGCACTTGGTAGAACGTCCTACATCCATCAGGTGAGACCATAATCACTTGCTGTTCACGGCTACAGGCAGCACCCAGGGGCCATTTGTGCCCAGATACTTGTTGGTTCCCCTCCTCTGGTTGCTCCAGGCTTCCCTAGGGGTCAGGGGTGCTTCCCCATCCTGCAGCCTCCTGCCTCCCCGCTCAATGCTGCCCTAGCCTGGCCCAGCCACTTACCGGTCCTTGAAGAAGCGCCTTAGACCAAATGCCACCAACTTCAGCACAGCCTCCAGCACAAAAACAGTGGTGAACATGTAGTTGCAGTACTTGAGGGCTGTCTCCAGGGACTGTGGGGGCGGGAAGAGGGGCAAAGAGAAGCATGACCCAGGCCCCATGGCCTGCCCCCCCCCAATTTTCTCCAGTCAGAAAGTCTCTGCCTTTTAAGGGGAGAATTTATACCATTTACATTTAGTGCAATGATTTATGTGTCTCCTTTTATTCCTTCCATCTTACTTAACAGGCACTATTTATTTTACATTGCTGCTTCCTTTTCCTTATTTCTGCTAGTTTGGTCCAGGTGTTCCTCTTTGGAGGCAGCGTGGGGTCATGGTTAAGAACCAGACTGCCTAGATTTGAATCCTGGCTCAGCACTTACTCCTTATTCACTATGAAGTTACGCAAGTCACTTGACCATCCTGGGACTTAGTTTTCCCATCTGTAAATTGGGGATGATAATAGTACCTACCTCAGAAAGTGGCTGTGAAAATTAAATGAGCTAATCGTCCTGCACCAGACTGGACTATACACTTAAATACTTGGTAAATGTGAGCTATTATTCCATTTCTTCATGTTAATTTGCAAGTTCTACAACTACCGTTCCTTTCTGCCAATGATTGCGTTCCATTTCCCTGCATGTATAACATTCTTCTGCCATCATTTAAAATTAGATACGAATTCCTCACACGGAGCCTCTGCTCCCCTTTTCCCCCCAGCTCCATTCAGGAGGATCTTGGAGAATGCACGTGCCTACACGCGCCCCACGTGCGCCTCTCACACACTGCCTGCAACTAGCTGGGAACTGGTCACCCTCTCTCACCTCTGTGTTTGCCCCCAACAGTCCTGCCACCTGGAATGCCCCTCCCCCAGGCGCCATATGCCCAGGTAGCAGTGGAGGCCACCTGGCACACCTTGAAGGCCAATCAAAGTTCCAGTCCTGGCTCCACTGCTTACTGGCTAACGGGGGCAGCCTGTTTTACCTCTCTGAACCTCAGTTTCTTCATCTACAAAATCTGTAGAACGTCTCCTCCCCCACTTTAAGCTGTGAGGATGAGAGACTTAATATCTGTAGTGTGCTCTGCAAAGAGCCATACTGAACACACCACAGCCACTGTTATCCGTGTTCAAGGCAGGGCCCAAATGTCACCTCCCCACTCACCAGGCATGAGTAACCTTTCCCTCTCCTTCATCTGTCCTACCAGACGTAGGGCCCAGGGCCCAGGATGAGAAACTGCTCAGGTCCTGACCCACCCTGTCCCTGGGGTGGCGATCTGCTGAGGTCTCACCACCCGCCCCCCCCTGCTGGGACCTCGGGCTGGGGGCAGGGCTGGGGCTCACCGTGGGCTGGTTGTAGTGCTCCAGGGACATGGTGACCACATTGAGGCAGATGATGAAGGTGATGAAGATGTCCAGGTAGTGGCTGGTGCACATGGAGTGGATGAGCAGTCGGGTGGGACAGTAGGTGGCGTAATAGGGTAGGCGCTGGGCCTCTGTAGTGGGTGATTGGGGAATAGCACAGACCACAGAGGGGGGAACGGAATATGTGCAGGGAGAAGCCGAGGGGAGGGAGGAAGCAAGGGGGAGCGAGGTCAGTCCACCCAGGCCGTGAGAGTCAGCTCGTGCTTCTCCACCCAGCCAGGGGACCACAAGGGAACGGGGAGAACACAGGGTCGCACAGCTCAGGGCCGGGTATCCAGGCTCTGCCTTTGCTTTCTGACTGGACTGAGCCACTTGGTTGGCAATGGTGTCACTGTCAGGCTCCAGGTGGACACCGATAGGGCTCTCAGGTCACCTGATCAGGCAGACACTTGGGGAAGGGGTAGGTCCAGGGACATGGACCGTATCTTTCACCCCTCCAAGCTCCAAGGCCCAGAGGCTGGGGTCAGGCCCAGGCCTCGGCCTCTGCACACTGCAGGGTCAGCAGCAGAAGGCAGAGGAGGCCGGGGGCCGGGGTGGCCCCTGCCCT